AGCACTAGTTGCTCCTAGACAGAACGCCACGAACGGGAGAAACTCCCATCGCCAGAAATGGAGAGATGAGAGCAGGGGTGGGGGTCAAAATCGCGTCAACATACCTTCTCCTTCCTTCGCCACCGCACAAAACGAGGCCAGCCTCACTTTGCAACCGTCTGCCACCCCCGCGAGTCGAGCATTGCGCGGTCGCCGAGCTCACGAGCGAGAGCCGCTCCCCGCGGCCAGCGTGCCGCGGGGTAGAGCAACTCCGGCCGCCGGCCACCCATGACGCCGAACGCCTCTTGAGAGAACCGATGTGTGGCGGACTACGGCGAATTTGGGCAGCAGCGAGGCTTCGATTTGGGGCGATTTGGGCGAGGGAAAGGGGAAGAAGGAATCGCCCACACCGCCGAATGAGGGAGAGAGTCGTTTGCGGGAGATGAGATAATGGCGGGCCCCACCTAGGCGAGTCGCTCTGTCTCGACCGTATTCCACCTGACCCCACCACCACGCGACGAAACTCTCGCCCTCGCCCCGACCATGTTATACCTGGGCCCGACCACGCGCGGATCGCGACGGATCGGACGGCCATCGCGGCGTGTGCTCGAGTCTTCGTTTTAGTGCACGCCCACTTTTAAGAGTTTAGGCAGACTGTTAGCATTTGAAAAAATTTACTTAGATTGTGCATGTCTGATGTGTACCCCTCTCCTAAAAAAGGTTTATACTGCTCTAAAAACAGGGAAATGATCGTGACAAGGCTGTCCATTGGAACCATGGGTGGGATCTGGGCTGGGGCCCCGTGGATCTGCAACAGCCTTTCCTTTTGGGATATACCGTCCGGAAAGGTCAGCAGCGCCGCTCTCTCTCTCTCTCCCTCTTTCCAAGTTGAGCTGCCTGTGAGCGAGACGTGTACATATCTTCTTCTCCACCTCGCTCGATCCGCCTGCACAACCGACGCTGCCCCGATCCCCAAGAATCCGATCCAGGGATCCACGCCCATGGCCGCCGTCACCAAGAAGAAGAAGGTCATCATCGACACCGACCCAGGGATCGGTCAGTATCCATCCCTCTCTCATTCCTCTTCTTGTTTTTCATCCATCCTAATCAATCTCGCATTGCAAACTCGCGGGGGATGGATGAACTGAACCGCAGATGACGCCATGGCCATCTTCGTCGCGCTGAGGTCGCCGGAGCTGGAGGTGGTGGGCCTCACCACCATCTTCGGCAACGTCTACACCGCCCTCGCCACCCACAACGCGCTGCACCTCGTCGGTCCACCCCACCCCACTCCCTCCCTCGCATTTTGACTTTCAGCTCTCATGAATGGATCTTTCTGATGCTAATCGAGTCGATCTCTAGCTTGATTTCAGCTGGAGACCGCTGGGAGGACCGACATCCCCGTCGCAGAGGGGTCCCATGTAACAATCAAGGTACCCTTAGTTCATCACATTATGTATGAAATGTATGTGTTTGTACAGCATCTCATTCAGTTAATTGCTGACATCTCCATCAGTCAAGAAGTCCCTGCTAACTGAAACTGAATGTCTGTTTGCCCGACCATGAACAATATTCAGAAAGCCACCAAGCTGCGGATTGCCAGCTTCGTCCATGGTTCGGATGGCCTCGGCAACCAGAACTTCCCTCCGCCGGCCGGCAAGGCGGTGGAGCAGTCCGCCGCCGCCTTCCTTGTTGAGCAGGCGAATCTCTACCCCGGACAGGTCACCGTCGTTGCCCTCGGCCCCCTCACCAACCTTGCGCTGGCTGTCGAGCTTGACCCTTCTTTCCCCAAGAAGATTGGGCAGATTATTATCCTGGGTGGCGCATATTCAGTTAATGGAAATGTGAACCCTGCAGCCGAGGCAAATGTGAGTTAGTCCTATCAGATTCTTGTTAGATGGTGTTGTCCTGTCACGCTTCCCTTCGAATTCAGAGAAAACACGCTTTATGTCACTAGCTTCTTGTTTCAGAGCATTGATTTAATAATTGCAAGCTACAATTCCAACAATTCATCATCCTGCCTTCACTAGTTAATTGGTTATCTTCGTTAAACAGATATTTGGTGATCCTGATGCGGCTGATATAGTTTTTACCTGCGGCGCGGATATTTTGGCCATCGGAATTAACATCACGCACCAAGTACTCCTTTCTGGTAATTCTCTTGCTGTCCGGAGCTGTTACTACTGTACCTTGTTACTTTTGAGACCTTGTTATATATCAGGGCTGAAAACAGCAACATGACACTATTTGTGATTTTCATATATAGCCTGATATATTTTTCTTTCCTCATGATTACATGATGCCTTTTTCTTGAGTTAATCATACAGTGGTTAACAGCAGCAGTGCGAACGTTTGGTTAATAACATAAGGCATGAGTTCGGTTCTAGTTGTTTTTCCAACTATACTAGTAGCTTAGAAGATATATTTTCGAAAAATAGACACCCATTTTGACACCAAGTGCTTTGTTCGCTCAGAGGGATTTAAATTCAATTGTCCCTTGGTCTTGATTGGTAACCGTTCAATTAAAAGGTACTCCCTCCGTTCCAAAATAGGTGACTCAACTTTGTACTAACTCTAGTACAAAGTTGAGTCATCTATTTTGGAACGGAGGGAGTAGCTATGTATGACTACAGATGGTTAGGTTGCATAGATGTATCACCTCTGGTTGGATGATCTTAGCAGTTGCCATGTATTAGAAAACATCACAATTTGACATGTCGCTTGTCGATGCAGATGTTGACCGGAAGAAGCTTGAAGAGTCCGATAGCAAATATGCTCGCTACTTGAGCAATATACTGGGTTATTATTATGATTATCACTTGGATGCCTACTCCATAACAGGTCAGTATGAAAGCAGTCAGTCAGTACACTTAAACTTGGATGGATCAGCAGTATAAAACTTGATGATGAGAAGCTAAACAATTAAAGAGACTTGAATGACTGATTTTGTAAGTATGATGAAATGGTTGCAGGAGTATATCTTCATGATCCGACAACTCTTCTTGCCGCCGTAGATCCATCGCTGATGACTTACACGGAAGGAGTGGTGAGGGTTCAGACGGATGGAATCACAAAGGGTCTCACCGTTTTCGACAATACCAAGAAAACGTATGGGGAGATAACAGCGTGGTGTGGTAAGCCGACTGTGAAGGTTGCTGTCACGGTCGATGCCCCCGCTGTCGTGGAGCTCATTATGCAGAGGCTTCTCACGGACGACTGAAACATTTCGTTTGCAATGCTGCAGTCAAGATTCAAGAACATACTTGTCAATGTTGCATTATGTACTGTCTACCTTCGGGGGCTGAGATGAACCATGGGCCTCTTCTTTTGTAGTTCAACACTTGAACATTTACACTTGTAGCACAACACTTGAATATTTACACTTGTAGTCCAACACTTAAGCATTTTACACTTCAGGCAGAAAGACCAGATTATAGTTCATTTTTCACTTTTCAGTTCTCAATGCACATCTGAATAAATTGTTTGGTGTATAACTTCCAATGCCATTCTATCATCAAGAGTTCTCAGACAGTACAACATATGCCAACCTGATCCATCTTATGTGTTTCAGCGCTAAACAGTTTCCCCAAAACTAGCACATGATACAGAATAGTTCAGGGCACACAGATATTTCACATGCTTCCTAAACAAAACAAAAACATAACTATATCTCATGACAACGGCTTTTTGACACGCTAAGCCTTCAAGCTGCACGTCCACCACAAATTGTTTGCAATTCCAGCGGTGTTGTTCGTGTTGGCAGAGCTCGTGGCGTCAAATGTCCAACGGTTGCACTTATTCTGCATCAATGCCTAAAATTCTCCTCAGATACTCCATTTGCTCAGTCTCACCTTGAAGCTCCTCCCACTGTGATTGTCAGGGAAAACAAATTCTTAATATAACAAATATTTTCACCTATTCAGGTAACTAAGAAAACTAATGCTGAAATCCAAGTCAAGGGTCAAAATTTCCTCGAGTTCATATAAGTGCACAAAATGCAGAACAAGAACATCATTTGCCGGTACAAGTTCGTGTGAGTTCATTACAGATAAACATGAATAATAGAGAGAAGCCTTTGTTTGGAAAAACAAAACAAAACAAGACATTAATTTCAGACGGTGGCATATGAAATCCTGGAAAATATAACACATTATAGAGGAGTTGTGAATTTCCTTTGTGATACAGCGACAGATTAATTAATATGAATGACACACTAATGATTGTCAGGGAAAACAAACTCTTAATATATTATCACAGTAAGTCTTAAAATAAATATTCTCACCTATTCAGAGAACTCAGAAAACTAATGCTGAAATCCAAGTCAAGCTACTAAATGTCCCTAAAGTTCATATGAGAGCACAAAATGCAGAACAAGATCTTTTATTTTTCTGTCCAACAAATTCATGTGAGTTTACAGATAAACATGAATAATAGAGAGAAGCCATTTCTTTTGAAAAACAAAACAGAACATTGATTTGAGACGGTGGCATATGAAGTTCTGGAAGATATGACACAATATAGAGTAGTTGTGAAATTTCTTTGTAAATCGACGACAGATTAAACAATAAATTTGTAAAATTTACTAATCGTTACCATCTTCAAGGTGTGACTAACCTCTTGGTGAGACAAGGAAACTAATTTCCATCCAGCAGCGGTTATGTAACGCCTTTTAAATGCCGTGTGGCCTAATGGTGTGCCTGAAAAACAGGTACACATCTGCATTAGTTTCTGCTTTGAGATACAGAATCAAGTAGGGAAGCAAGAAGAAAATGGACAGCCTTTTATCAGAAATGGTAAGCAAAGCACAGAAAGCAACAGACATCAATAGAGGGTACCTAAATTCCTGGAGAAGTGTGTCGTCCCGTCTATCTCAAATGCAAGCTTCTCATCAACTAGCACCGCATCGACAGTGTAACCATCCACCGTATATTCTCTAACCCATTCATGTCCGGTACTATATAAAAGACGCCCGACATCCTTCTGAAACAGGGAGGTCGTCTTCTGATTGAACCGCTTGCTCTTCACCGCTTTTGTTATTTTCTCTTCCAGATCATCTCTTAAGCCCATATTGAGATGTGGATATTCAAGCTTCAAAGACTGATTTGCAAGATATACCTGTGATGCAAACATTATGTCTTCCCTATACTGATCAGAGACTCTCTGCTCTTCGTGTTGGCTCAGAGTGTTCCAGATATGTGAGAAGAATTGTCGGTCCAGTTGCCCAAGAACAGCATATGACCAAGCAATATTGCCAAGCTGATCTCGACTAAAGTTTAGCGCATGAGAATTGTTACCATATTCTTCGCTCGAAGCTTCTTTGGCAGCGATGTGCCCAATGTCTGACGATGATGGATCATAGATATTACATTTGAAGCTTGCAGCATCCTGGAAAGCAGCATCAAGTGCGTCGAGCAGAGGATAGGGACATTCATCAAGAGAAGCACATCCCCAGAGAAATTGAGCAAGCTCTTGCTCCTTGAAGGTGTGCACCAGTTTTGCTGCTCTCTGGGCCAATGCCGAGAAAAGGCCTGGTGCTGACTGGCGCATGGTCGCGAACGCTCCGGCGACATTGGCGACATTCTGCGCGTTGAAATCATCAGCCTTGGAGATGGCCACCTCGGCAATCCTATCCATCTCCGGCAGGTAGAGCAGGTCACCCCCGATCTTGGACAAGGCCCAGCAGATGTTGGACACGCCCTGCGGCGAGCACTCCGGGAGGGACATCATGGCCAGCCCCACGAGCATGGACATGTCCCTGTGCCGCGCGAAGGCCAGGCGGTGCGTCTGCACCATGGACACGGCCTCCATCCTCCTGGCGATGCGGTGGAGCGCGGTGGCGATGTTGAGCGCGGTGAGCGGGGAGGGGCTGAGGCCCTTGGCGACGGCCGCGACGACGTCGGCGGTGAGCGCGAGCACCTCCTCGGCGGTCTGCGCCTGCACGATGTCCCTGTTGAGGGCCACCTCCTTGGTCCGGTTGGACGGCGCGGCGGCGAAGCTGGAGAGCGTCTGGATGAAGCGCTCCCTGTTCCTCTGCCGCTTTTCGTCGAACAGGCCGTCCCCGAGCTGCGCCACCCGGAGGTCGAGGTCGTCCAGGCTCGCCTCCTCGTCGCTGTCGAACTCGTCCCCATCCAGCGGCTCCTCGTCGGCGTCGTGCTTGCGGGGCTTCCTGCCGAGGACCCTCTTCTTCTGCTTCTTCTTCTTCTTCTTCTTGGGCGGGGTGACCATGCGCTGGAGCGCCGGCGTGAGGCCCCTGGCCTCGATGGAGCGCAGCGCGGAGCGGCGCGCGCGGACGCACCAGTCGGTGCTCGCGGCGGGGAGCGGGTCGTCGTCCTCGTCGTCGCCGGACCGCGGGTGAGGGTCGGGCCCCAGGAAGTCGAGCTGCCACTGCGGCGTGGCGTCGTCCTCCTTCACGGCGGCGCGGCAGGGTGGGGCTGGGAGGCGAGTGCCGCATCCCCTGAGACTGAGGCTGAGGAGGCCGGAGAAAATGGGGTGGTGGTGGGGCTGGGGATAATGGTGGTACGGGTTGCTGGAGGAGAGCACGGGGAAGGTGGTGCCGCCGCCGGCGGTGCTTCGGGGGAGAGGGGCGAGGAGCCCGGCAGCAGCTTCCATTGTTGGTTCCTCGGCTCAATTGGCGCCGGAACAGGTAGGATGGGTGGCTCGGCTCCGGATGGATAAGAAGAATTGCACTGCCTGGCCTAAGACTTGCTTCAGAAAGTTCAGATTTTCTTGTGTTAGTCTGAATGTGTACCGACCTGCTTCAGAAAGTCCAGAGAAACTGTAACAAAAAAATAGGCCTGTGGTAGTCTGAATGTGCACAAAGTAGTTTGATAATTCAGGTCTGTGGTAATCAAGCAGTTATACGGGGAACACAAAGTATTCGTCTGTAAAATACTCCCTTCGTCCGGAAATACTTGTCATCAAAATGAATAAATAAAAATGTATCTAGACGTATTCTAGTTATAGATACATTCCTTTTTATCCATTTTGATGACAAGTATTTTCGGATGGAGGGAGTACTAAATAATCTTATATTTATTTACAGAGTGAGTACTTATTATTGATCATATATGTGAGGAACAAAAGATCAATCACATAAAAAACAAAAAAAAAGTACCAACGACGAAACAGAATAATACTGTGTTCATTAAATAAGACACACTCCCAGTGCACGGAGTCGAAGGCCTTTCTTATGTCAAACTTGAGAAAGATTGAAGCCTTTTTTCGTCGGTGCAACATGAAGTTATCATGGATGCTTCGAGTCTTAATGAAGACGCTTTGCGTGTTGGGAATGAGGGCGTCCATGTGAGGGGCAAGTTACATGGCCAACAGTTTCGCCGTAATCTTTGCAATGGCGTGTGTAAGGCTAATTGGGCAATAGTCGACGATCTCGTAGGCACCATCTTTCTTAGGGAGGAGCACAATATTGGCTGAGTTCAGCCATTCGAAATGCTCCACATGTAGGTCCGAGAACCTGCTGATGGTGGCCATGACATCCTATTTAATGAGGTTTGCAATATTGTCCGAATAACAGTAGTGGAACAAGCCAGTGTTTCCCCTTACTTGCTTCTTATTGCTTGTAGTTTCCCTGTATTTGAAAAGCATTCACTGATGATTACTGACACTGATTGTTGGTGTATGTGATACATGGAAAGAGATTATGCACGTAGTGCGATGACTTAATATGGCCGGTCCATGCATGAATATGATCCTCTTGCATACACCGATTGATTGTATTATTTCTTTGCGGGGTGATTGATTGTATTTTTCTATTTCATTTGCCTCCTTCATTTCTTTAGTTTCTACAAGGGGCGACAACAAAATTGTAAAAAAATCCAAGCGAATCCTTCATTCCCTTTCAGCCTCAGCGGTCCTAACGATTCATGGCGCTCACTCTTCCTTTCTTCCTCTACTCTCGCGATACAGTTTTCCTCTCTGATATCATGGACTCATATGGCTATGACATGGTCATCCTCATTTCATCCGATGATGGTGATATCGGTGTCTACTACGTGAACAACGATTTCAGCACCAAGGCCACCCCGTGGCCAAGTCTTTTGTGGCTGCTAGCTACAACTAAGACAGCGACGATGACTCCAACGACACCACACCAAGTTGGCGGGGTCGACCGACCAAATACAACTAAGGGCATAGCGACGACAGTCCTTCTGAAAACATATGAGATGCCCCGCAAGGATTACCATGGCGCACATGTACCTTCAT